AAGTGGGCAAGTCTCATGATGACGATCATCTACTAGCACCAATTGTTTTTATTTTTCTTGTACAACATAACAGGTGCATTACTTGTTTTTATGGAAAATTTATGTCCGGGCTCTTCACTAGATCATTGTTTAAGGACTGGGATCCAAAATATTACCCAAGGTACGATATAGTTATAATAATCTTCATTTGTGTGATATAGTAGACACATTTGTGAAATTGGCACGCACTACACAAAATGACTGGTCGACCATTTAAAATTACATAAGGAGACGATTTCATTCCAATCGTGAAAGAAATTGACCAACCCGTGTCCTTGAGAAATCTAGAATTTCTCAAGTAACTTAAGTTGCAAATTACAATTCATTAATCGTTGAAAACATATCCCTATATGTAGCTTCGCTCGAAGTGGTTCATAAGCCAAAAGAAACGAACTTTTTCAGTACTGTATTTTGAGGTGATTCAAATCTAACATGTTACGCAGTTGACGCAGTTGTGCGACTGATAATATTGGAAGGACACTTTTAGTCACCAGTACTGGCTACGAACGAGACAATATACTGTATGGCTTACCCAGACTTACCACAGGACTTAGGTCAAATCAGGTTAACGAAAACGAAAATTAGATTCACCTGTTTGTTTATTTGTGCATCCGATTGCATTTTCTTGCGTCAGCACCTATACCTTGGACATGTCTGCATCGATCATATTAAACTTCGGACATATATATCATATTCTGAGGTCTACACTGGGTTTCATGAAGGCTTGATTTATCACGTTTGTAAATTTCAACTGACGATTGAAAAGGTGAACAGCGGATGAATGCCACCAGTTTAGAACTTTACTGTGATCAGTTTACTTTGAACCAATCATTTTACACAGCCTCGCTTTCGCAATTTAGCGTTCTGTGCCAAAGGATAATGGTATTATTTGTATTTATTTCAGCGAACGAATCACCGTGAGCTCAAGCGTTTAAAAAACAAATTTGATGGAATATGTTGTGTTCATGGCAGTAAATCCACCAATGTTTGAAGAAACCCTGCAAAGACTCATGGGAAATGAGCGTTACCAAATGGTTTCTATAAGCCAATGAAAACATCTTCTTACGATTTGAATGACGCGCGGGGATCTTTTTGAGATAAATGTTTTATAAATATTTATAAATATTCATAAAACAAATTCATGTCTTCATGAAACCCGATGTGTATGTACGTTAGTTTGTTTCTCGGTCCGATAAAGTTGACCGAATGTCAATGTGAGTGTTAAAATGCATCAAAATTATGTATTTCTGCATGTTATTACGAATGGAAATCACGTGCATGTATATTGGCCAATTTGTTATTCAAGTTGATCGACTCGGAATCGCACCCTCTTTGCTGTTACGGGGTCTAATCTTCCACACATGCTGCACGGACCGACAATGTTCACACATCAACTATGCCACACATATGGCATACGTTTTCGATCCATGTCCGCATAACGATAAAAATGCATCACAATGCACTCCTGTCATATCGGAACGGAATATTAGATATGCATTGACGGGATTTTATGCACCGTGATACCTAGAACCAAGGCCGTAGCCATTTTGATCCCGGATGTTGATGCGTCCCGGTGCTTTATCTCTGACATGCCTTTGCCGAATACATTTACACTTTACTTTTACAAACTACATAGAGAATTCAAGTTAGTGATTGGCACAATTCCCATTGTTACTAACATAACTAAACATAATGTGTAATCTCCACACATAGTATTTTTCTATAGGACAATGTCAGTTGGTTGCACGCCCACAGAAAGAGATCCTCTACTAGGTAGATGTAAGTAATTACAACCAACATCAAACTTCAAACTCTTAATTAATGTAATTTCCAGGTTTCTTCTAATCTCAAATTACAAGTAGTTGTAGCAAGTTAATGACGGCGTTGGTAGTGGTATCACCTCAGGCTTCCAGTGCGACTGTAAACTGATTTCAGTAATTAAAAATAATTTATGAGAAATTTGAGAGAATTCGCCAGGACGACATTTTTAAAAGATTTAAGAATTGAACACGCGTGGGTTGTAGCCGGAAAACTTTGTTGAAAACATGTGATTATTTTATGCCACAACCACAGACGGATATTGTGCTCTAAATTGAAATTATTAAACGAGGGCACTGTTGTGAAAGAAATCTCTCTTGTATATTCATCTGTTTTCCCATGAGTCGGGAAAGGTCGAGAATGGGGATTAACTTGTTAGTCCTGCAACTTCCCTTTCCATTTAGGTTATGCCGATCCCATCGTTGGATGTTTAAATGAAAGATTTGGTTGGCTTCATCGCAAATCCCAGGATTAGCCCGACAGACAAATAGGCGATAAACTCACTGTTTCTCTGTTGTTTGAACGACATCGCAGCGAAGCGCAGAGGCGTTCCCCAGAGAACTCCGTACGCATTGCATTTACAAAATAACAAACACGACGATGATAGACACCCAACGTTTGAAATACCAAATACCAATGGGGCTTCTACATCGTTTTTCTTCCAGTCGAGTAGTGTGACATGAATCGTGAATATATAACTAATTAATATAAAAGGGAGAGCGTTTAATGCAGCGTGATTCAGGAGAACGCAGTCGACACAAAAGACTGCACCTGAGACACTTTTACGCGCTGCTAATATGGCAGTCAATTGAACCACCTCGTTTGCCCTTGTTTGTTCTCATTAAGATTGTTACCTGGGTCACAACCATTATCAACGCCTCGTGTTCCTCACCTCAACTGTAAACCTTCTCCGACCCCCAAACTATATCAAATGCGGCGCACGAACTGTGAAACATATCGCAAATTTAAATCGGCCATGTTGCGTATACCCCTGCTCTCACAGAACTGCTCTCTCATTCCATGCCCTGTTACCCATAACAGTTTTTTTTATACGCCCTATGCTTCATCGTAAACGTTACATTGTAACAATTTCTTCTGCGTAGCCAAGCTGTTCCACGAGAATAAGATGTATAATTATTGCATATAACATAACTCTTTTTTATTATAGATGTGATTCACAATTCGGACCGAAGAACTATGAGTTTGTTCTAAATAAGGAACCAGGCCTGGTTTGATTACGCTAAGCCATCGACTACGATAGTGTATTTCGGGTGACCCTTTGCTTTCTCTCTTTTCACATAATCCCCAAGTGCCGCATTCCAACACTACACCTTGCATTAGGATTAACAATAACGTGTGAGATGTATGTTAATTAAGCGCTTTAATTTCGGTAGAGATTTGAATCATAGAAACATGTGATATTCCCCACCCCACACACATATAACGCGGTGAAGCACCGCCACCACTTTACAATCACACCCGCCCCCCATGCACGGAGTGTCTTGAACTCCATGTTATATTAAAATCATGAAATTGATTTAATTGCCAGCACAGGGTATTTCACGCGTGAAGCATGTTAATCTCCTTGCAATGTACGAGTAAGGTGGAATACGGTAGAACAGGCACTGTTCACTCATTTGGGCCTTACGTTTACGACCTGGGCGATAAGATAAAAATGAGTACTGATGCGCTATTATATTAGCCATTTATTAACAACATTTTCATTTTACAAGTGTTTACTTATATATATGTAATGTACATGAATAAGAAAACTGCCGCGCGTAAGCCTGTCTGGTAGTTGCCATGGCTACAGGGCATTTACCAATGATTAATGCATTACTATACAACAACATCATATTTCTATTTCACTCACAGTTTACAGTCAAAGTAGAATATATACAAGATTCCGTAGTAGAGACTTAACGTTGAGTAATTAGTATATTTACAGAAACCGTTTTTTTTTTGTACAACATTGCTATATGTACGTATGTATATAATACTGTTTTCAGAATTTCCCTAATTTAGAGTTCATACTTAATTTATTGTGTATTTTATTTAAATTTGTTCCCGTTACATTTTTAAAGTAGTTCCAGTTGCATGGGTTGTAAAGCGAGACAAGTTTGCATGTATATTTCAACATTACATTGCACATTGAAAGTTATGCTTTCCACCTTGAACCAGCTGATGATATCCACGATCCTTGATAGCTGCATTCGATGACAAAATTTGCATAATTAAGCAGATTATTAATAGTTAACTATGCATGCAATTATCAAATGAGACGAGTCACCTACGCAGCGATTGGGCAGAAATAGATTAACAGGCACGCCTTAAATATCAAACATTACATAACGCATGTATGTTTTTTATTTACATCGAATGCGAATGACTTGTGTGTGACCAAGTATCACGGTTACTTATTATTAGTCAAATATATCATTTTTTTTTTTTAAATTCAAGAAGATAGGTAACGGAGGTCTACGATATACATATATAACATGAGTTCTAAATCACAGACACCTGAGTTCTACGCCACAGACACGCGATACGCCAAGTAAAATGCACATATCCACCACTTTTTTTAAATGTTATGTATTTCCAGTTTCCAGGTAGGGTTGTGGATGAAGAAGAGGGCTGCCATCATAACGACGCCTCCTCCAAGAATCTAATAAGAAAGCCCAATGTAGTGATCACGTGAAATCCCGCATTTAAATGACAAAAAAAGAGTTATTGTTACTACTGGAAAATTACAATAAATATCTGTATACTCTATATTAATAAAATCTCTTTCCGTTGAATGATTCAATTACTTAGGTTATGGGATCAATTGTCGTGTGCACATATGTACGAAATTTACCAATGTTAGGAACCGCATCCGTCCAGCAATACCCATGATGCATTGGACATCCCGTTCTTTGTCAAGCCGCCAAACTGTTTCTTACTGGCTTCATGATCCAGGGGCATCCGGTCTTCAGGCATATTTATATGGTGCCGCTTGGCGTAACATTCGATTTGTTTAATATTAATAAAACAAGAATTCCGTCGAATGGAGGTAGTGTGCGTTTAGAATTTAATCAACTTCCATCCCAGCCGATTTATCTTCAGACATTGAACATTCACATAGTTCATCATTTCAGACGCTACTAGAGATGCAGTGACGTCATCGACACGAGGACGCTCATTGGTATTGCAATCATCCATACACAGTGTAAATGGTACCTCGATAACCCTAGGAAGAAGTGAAATTTACATCATTGATTTTATTGGTAGTTTTGTCCTTAGCATCGGGCATGTCGGTATCATGTCACATGGTTGATTTGCTTGGTAATTTCAAAATGTGATCATACTAGTGAAGTAAAAAATGCGAATTACTAATTATTTTGGCTTATGTCATTACATGTCACTACAACGGGTTACTGCGTGCCATTAGGATATACCTTTCTCGTGATAATCAGTGTTGGAATGCTCGACAAATCAAACTGTTTTACAGGTTTCCCACATAAATATATATTCCGTATTAAAATAAATTATTGTAATTTATTAATATAAATAAATCAATGTATGGCAATTGGAGGAAAATCTGTAATCTCGAAATATAACATATACCAGCGGATGCGAATATAATGTCAGTTATATGAAATATTTGTACGCATTTCGTTTGAGGTGAACTTTTTTTTTTCATTACCCAATATGGTGATGATGTATTGGACGATCATTAATGCATTTGACAACGATCTCACAGACGTGCTATTCAAAATTGAAAATGAAAAAGTAAACTGTATTTGTGAAATAAATCAATTACCTGATCCAGCGGTCCCATCTCCTTCATTCCAAACATCTGAAAAATAACGAGAATTTAATTAAATGCGTGGTGTTAACGTAACGATACTCTAGACAACGTCGTGGTTATTTTTTCCTATAAAAATTGATAGGCATCAATCGCGAGTAATGGAACTATTGCCTAGTGTGTGTAATCGAACGAGCAAAAAAATAAATTATGATGTGTCAGATAGCTGTCTATAGAGAGTGATTTCATGTCTGACAGTTATGACCAGGCTGTTCATTACTAGTCCTTTTTACTAATGAACTATTGGTAGCCAGCGTAACGACTGTAATACTGCGCAGTTCTCAACATTAATGTAATGCCATGACGTGCTGATTTATTTATTTATTTATTTATTTATTTATTTATTTATTTATTTATTTATTTATTTATTTATTTATTTATTTATTTATTTATTTATTTATCTGTCTTTCTGTCTGTCTTTCTGTCTGTCTGTGTGTCTGTCTGTCTGTCTGTCTGTCTGTCTGTCTGTCTGTCTGTCTGTCTGTCTGTCTGTCTATTTATTTATTTATTTATTTATTTATTTATTTATTTATTTATTTATTTATTTATTTATTTATTTATTTATTTGCTTGTTTATTTATGTGTGTATGTTTGTGTGTTTGTTTATGTGTGTGTGTATGTGTGTGTGTGTGTGTTTGTTTATGTGTGTATGTTTTTATAGGATGTACTGAACCAGCAACTGAAGCATGTCGATGCGTCAAAGCTTGGGTCACATCAGACTATCCCGCCCTAAGAAATGAACGGCTCAACAAATCTGTTGTGATTGTATTTTATGTCACAGTCGACCATTTAAAGGCAGACATCTTGTAGGTTTAGAAACCTTTTTAAACATTATTTCTTTTGTTGCACACATCTACAAATCCCAGGTTGTTTAATAATAATATGGGGCTAGGAGTTGACTATTACACACTCTGGGGCTATGGGGTGGATTTCAAAATTACACAGACAAAATTCGAAGAAAAAATTCTGCACAGGAAAAGCGGTTTTTAATCATGGTCAACCCCTTATGACGATGACATGGATGATATGCCGTGTCACATGGCCTACAGCTAGTAATATTGTTTCTTTAAAACTAAACTTCCCACAGCAATCATGTATACCTTGTATTTTCTCACATTTTTCTCTATGTGTGTTCAGTTTGCAACACAAAAGCCGATTTGGTGCAGTAGTAGGTAGATTGAAAACTACAAAAAAAGTGATAAAAACGCACAGGCTTTCATTTAATGTGAAGCAACTGGTTTCATACTGACCATTTTTTTCTAAGTTTGACATCTCACCTTTAGGGGTAGTAGTATTATTGCTGAACGAAGTAGCATTAGTAATGGCTGCCGACCAAGTTTCCATTGGAGAGGATGTTCCACTTGTTCTTGGAGGGGGCATGCCGTCACCGTTACCACCGCCGTCTTCTTCATCATCAGTTCTCCAGGGTGGTAGTCCATCTAGTGGGGGCACAAACTGTTGTGGTGGCATCACAGTGTCATCATCAGCTGTTTCGTCTTCCTCGCCCACGCCTTCTCCAGCCGCAACTGTCCATGCGCTATCTGTCATATCAAATAAATGATTTTCATAAAAACTATGTATGTATTGAACCAGTAGGAAAAAAACTGCTGTCCAATTTAACGTGAAACGGATCTAAACATACTCCTAAACACTAGATATTTATGTTGTAAACGTGTTCATGTGAAATCGAGCTAAACATACTCCTAAACACTAGATATGTATGTTGTTAATGTGTTCATGTGAAATCGAGCTAAACATACTCCTAAACACTAGATATATATGTTGTAAACGTGTTCATGTGAAATTGAGCTAAACATACTCCTAAACACTAGATATATATGTTGTAAACGTGTTCATGTGAAATTGAGCTAAACATACTCCTAAACACTAGATATATATGTTGTAAACGTGTTCATGTGAAATTGAGCTAAACATACTCCTAAACACTAGATATATATGTCGTAAACGTGTTCATGTGAAATTGAGCTAAACATACTCCTAAACACTAGATATTTATGTTGTAAACGTGTTCATGTGAAATTGAGCTAAACATACTCCTAAACACTAGATATATATGTTGTAAACGTGTTCATGTAAAATTGAGCTAAACATACTCCTAAACACTAGATATTTATGTTGTAAATGTGTGCATGTGAAAATGAGCTAAACATACTCCTAAACACTATATATATATGTTGTAAACGTGTTCATGTGAAATCGAGCTAAACATTCTCCTAAACACTAGATATATATGTTGTAAACGTGTTCATGTGAAATTGAGCTAAACATACTCCAAAACACTAGATATTTATGTTGTAAACGTGTTCATGTGAAATCGAGCTAAACATACTCCTAAACACTAGATATATATGTTGTTAATGTGTTCATGTGAAATCGAGCTAAACATACTCCTAAACACTAGATATATATGTTGTAAACGTGTTCATGTGAAATTGAGCTAAACATACTCCTAAACACTAGATATATATGTTGTAAACGTGTTCATGTGAAATTGAGCTAAACATACTCCTAAACACTAGATATATATGTTGTAAACGTGTTCATGTGAAATCGAGCTAAACATACTACTCACATTGTTATAGTAAGACCTTTTGAAAGTTTAAAATCAATCAACAATAATCTGCCAGTTACCATTATTTGTTTGAGGATTATAAGCAATGAGATATTGAAGAGGTTCGGCTACACGTTTTACGTTATAAGTGTACGCGTAACGACACGCGTTTATGTGGTGACGTCATCGGACACTGAGAACGTCCTCACGTACGCGTAAACAGGTGTGCCTAGACAGGTGATTTCATGTAAGTTGTGAACGTGTGCATTTATTTATTTTTCTTTGGGGGCAGAATAGTATATACGCTCGGTGATTTGTTTCGGTCAGATTAATGTGCAATTTCATTCAGATAATTCATAATTATATATGGAAATGGACCAATAAACGTTGGGATATCAAGGACCGGATAACGGTTCTACCTTGGTACTTAACGTGTCGATATCTCGCGGTAGATTATTCCTAGTTCATATACCAGGTTCATTCATTTTACGTTGATTGACTGTAACAGCAGTGTTTTTACACCTTACTCTTTCAAGTTTAATCGAATGATTCTTTTTTATTATACTTGTTTAATCTGCTGTGCCGTGCATCAAAGCCGGCTGAGGTGTGGCTACAAAGGTGGTGCCACTTTGCTGATCCAAAACAGCTGATTTTTTTTTTCGACAGACAATCACGATATGTCCGTCTTTTCCGGTCGACAATTGATATAACCTGGTCATCAGTCATCGTATTCAAATCAAAACGCTATGGTATGGTTCCATTAAACGCGTTGTAATTAGCACTACCAATGCGAGTGCGAAAACTTCAAAATCGTTATTTTTAAAATGCTAAGGGACGACGTCAAAAGATCGATGTCGGATAAAAAACTTATTTCCTTTAGTTTGGGGGTGGGGGGTTTTGACCTCAAAAAGTTTCCATCCTACAAAAACGATTTTATTTTTTAATGAAGTCTTACAAATCTTGGACTATTTGTAATTCTATCAAATTATGGACAGAAATAACCGAAAAGGAAAAAAAAAACAGAAAAATGGTTTGGTTCGAGTGTAAATCTGTGCGTCAAATGAGGTGCATTTGTAAAATCTTTTTACACCCACCCGACAACCAACTGCTATGCAATACTACTGTCCGATTATCAATTTGTATTTAATGATGAATGTAGTCTGACGCCATG